ATAACCATAAGTTTTATATCAATCCATGCACATCAACAAGAAAATAAAGTGTAATATCGAAACAAATATAATATTTAGATGAATACAAACGGATTAAAAAACTTCATAACATTTACATGTGTTTTTTATTCAAAGAAATCTAAATAGATGTGACAAAAAAAACATGAAAGTTTGTTATGCAAAAGGATTCATTTCCATGTGTTTTTATTTATTTTAACCGGTTTAATTTAACCGGCTCAACCGAGTTTTTATAAAAACCGACTGGTTCACTGCGGTTCAGAAATAGACATAAAAAACATGAAAGTTTTTTATGCAAAATGATCCAACCAATTCGACCGGCTGATTCAAACTGGTTTTTAAAACAATGGTATAAACGTGAAAATAATAATATATATAATTTTAATTTTTTCATAACACGTTATAAAAAAATAATATCTATATATAATACTTATTGTTGTATTAATCGAAAATTGATTGAACTAATATGTATACGTTTATATGATCATCCTTCCATTAAATTCATATCATTGTTGGTTTTTTTTTTTTTTTTTGACTAAAATGTTAATATTATTATAATAATCTAATTAAATATTATCTTGGACACATGCATATCAAAATATTGTTTTATATTTTGATAGTAGTTGTAATTTTCCTTGGAAGATTATTTTTATTTTTATTTAATATACCTCATTTAAAATTCCCATAAACAGATATAATTAAAGACAATACAATATAATACAGTAATATATGAAAAGTAGTAAACGAAAGAAAATGATATTTATAAACTTAACATTATTAAACGATTAGAACGTACTAAAAATATCCCATACCCAAAAATAATTTCGACTAATATAATTTCATAAATCTACTAATTTTGCTTAGTTATAATAATTTAATTAAGTTACGGTCCTTTCCTAAAAGTAATTTTTCAAATTTGATTTTGTAAAAGTAACAAAAGTTCCATTGAATGTTCAAGAAAATATTGTCATGGTTTTTAACCGGTCAAAGCCGGTCACAAAACGCCTAGTGGCTCTTATCGCTGACTAGGAGTTGAGGTGCACAAACTACGTCAACACAAGGTGTATTGGAAAATTTTAAATCGAAATTGAGGATGTTGACTAGTGACGGAAGGAATCGAACCCACGACCTCCGCCAAAAAACGTCCAGCGCCTTTACGACTAGGACGAAGAGGGATTGTTGTTTCATTTCCTGAATACTTAGAATCTT